AAGTCCGACTCTACTTGGTCTAAACCCCAAACCGCACACCCTAAAACTCTAAACCCCTAGACGCCTAAACCCTGAACCCGTAAACCCTAAACCCGTAAACCCTAAACCCCTAAACCCCTAAAGCGTAAACCCCCAAACCCTAAACGGGCTCCATTCCTTTTCGTCTGGTATGACAGGGAGATCCTACTTTCCCCAACTTCGGGGTCGTGTCTATGGGATCTGTAGCATGCTGTGGGTCGTTCTCCAAAGAAGGGTCCCGTTTAGGGCCCTTGTTCTACGGGTGCCGCCGTCTTTTGGGTTCCCTACAAAGGGACTGTGCTTTAGAGAACTATCCACATTTAGGAGTTTCCGAAAATAGGGGTACCTTATCTTGGGGTCCTTGTAGTAAGGATCCTGCTATTCAGGGTACTATATTAGGGTCCCCTATTTTCGGAAATCCCCAGATAGTGAAAGCTTTGCAATGTCCGGGTCTTTATGTGGGTTTCGGAAGCTGCCCCTAAAGGGCTTCCCCACAGCCTTGGCCTGAACTCTCGGTTTGGGATTTAGGGTTTAGATCTATTCCGGGCGCCGAATTTAAACAGCCTACACTTTTTTTGTCCGTCGCCCGTCCAGTTCTGGGTACCCAAAGCCCGCATTGAGCGAGACCAGGCGCCACCTGCCAAGTAGCCATGCTATGCGCATGCATAAATACCTATCACAGTCAGCTGACATTACCCTGCGTTATGTCAGTAGGATACACTACACTACCTTGCAAGCCCACCGCAGTACATTGTGCTGCTTTGCCACATAGACTACATTATGACGCACGTCACAAAGTCGCATCACACATTACACTCAATTACACTGTTACATGACAACTGCATATTGCATGAACATTATAACTACATTTATGTACACTACATTGCATGTGCATAGACTGTGTGTATGCAAGTATGTATTTGTATTTGAGTAATTCACCTACGTACCCAGGTGTCTCCAGATGCTAGTCGCATGTTTGGTGCACGCAAGTTTGCTTGAAGGTGTAGTTACTTGTAAAAGCAGTGCTATAGTGAAAATGCTCATGGACTATTACTGTGGTCTCGTTTTGGTGAGGCCAGAAGATGCAGGACATCGAACACGGTTTAAGGCTAATCGAGGGTTTGCGGGTAGTCTGCGGGTTTTGGGCTTCGGACTTGGGTATGCAATTGAAGGGGGTCTCTCAGTAAACATGCGTAAATCATGAATGCGTTTGGAAGCCGTTCGGGCTCGAACGCAACGCCTTCGAGGCTTGGCTAGTTGGGGGATGTGGGGCAGACTAATGTAGGAACCTGATTAGGAAACCCTGGGCCCATAACCCCAAAATAGTAGGGTTCGTATAAGGAAGCCTGGTAAAGGCCCAAGGTTTCTCAATCAGGTTCCTAAAGTATGCACTTCGATGTCTTTCCTACATGCGATCACAGGTGGCCAGGTGAGTAAAATGTAGTATACAAGGGAGAAATGCTCTTGTACCCTCTCGTAAATACTGCAGCGTACGCAGTCAATGATGCAGGGCGTTGGCAATGAATCTTACAATTGTGTTGGTTCAAGTGGCTCAGGTAACTACTTGAGACAATTGCTTGGCATTTCATTGCCTCGGGCCGTCGATTGAAGATGAATTTGAAAAGGCACGCAGTGTGCGTAATGTGATAATGTTGAAGCCATGTATGTCAGGGTGGAGAGTTGAGGGTCATGCGCTTTGGGGCGCTGTGCAGTGTTCTGTCAGGCCCCCGGTGTACTACTTTCGTCTATTTTATGGCATGATTATGTAAGGGCCATAAGTTCAGGTTTTAGGGATTATGCGGTATATCATTGGTAACTATACTGCTACTGAATTTAGGCCTATAGACAGAGGCACACAAGTTTGTGCTAGTATAATGTACCCCAAAGCCTTATTTTCATTGTTAAGAGCCCCCACAGAATTCGGAAAGCTTTCGAAGGGGTTTCAGCGCGCTGGCGATACCCGAGACGCTCAATCCGGGTACTATCTGCTAACACATGCTACATGGTATGGGTATGTCCACACATATATCATTGCAAAGAATGTGTGCACACGCAAACGATACACCAAAGCCGGCCTCCTTAAGAACAAGAGTTTGTTCGTATCCCCTGGTAAGAATACATCTGCCACTCAGTGTGTGATTGTACTTACACACCGCTGCATGCTAGGAAATGACATGGTATGCTACTGGTGCAAGTATGTAAATGCGTGCAATAGTAATAGTACAATCGGAAAACACACCCTCGCGAATATTCACCAGGCAAGGCCCCTGATAGATTTCATACACACATTAACTAGTTCAGTCCCTCCGAAATTTTCTTAAGCCACCGAACATCTCGGCGCACGCCTTCCCAGTAGAGCTTCCGACAATTGCAGCAGCGCCAGAACTCCTGCGGTTTAGGGCCTGGGCTTAGAGGGGATAAGGTTTAGGAGTCTACGTCCTGAACCAACTTTGATTACAGCAGAAGCCCAAAAGTTGGAAACCCTATAGCCTCAAACCTTAACAGCAAAGTATGGGGAATCCCAGCACGATTCGTCCTGAATTAGGCTTCCAATTCTTTTGGAGTTTACAATAGACGGTTTATCTAGGCTTCGGGGCCATCATGTCGCCATCCACATCTCCCCACACGAATGTGGCAGCTGGTCGTGGGCACTTGTATTTCTCGCACGGGAAAGCCATTAATATCTCACAAGCCCTGCAAGCCAAGGGACCAACCCGGTACTGTAGGGGCCTCAATCATTAGAATATGCTTTGGGGTGGTGGTCTAGGACTGAGGGCACCAAACCCCAAACTTCATTCTGGTGTTCGGGGTCGCTGTTGACATCTGGGAACGGAACGGCGATCAGGAATTGTTTTGTGGCAGATCGGAATCGGTACGGATTGGTGTCGTGTTTAGGCTTTGGGAGTTTGGGATATCCGGTTGAGTGTTCGGGAAGGAAAAAATCAGGGTTTTGGATCAGGGCGAAGACACTATGTCAGATCTTGCTTGCGCGTAAATATCGCAACAGCAGTGCTGGACTCTATCAACATCAAAGTTAGCAGCCGTTGCGCTTCCAGCACGCGGTGTCATAGTAAGACTCACGAGAAGAATCATGACTGGTCGGTCGATCGTCAGTGCTTCGAAGCCGTATCTTGGCAAACCAATGTGTATATAAGCCTGGCACCATGCGGCAAAGAAACACAAGCGATCACAGGCAGATCCGCTAAACGTTCTTCAGCTGATCCTGCACGCTACTACTGTCACCACCACACGCAGCGTCCCCCCAGGTCACGACGGATCCATCGCTAAGAATTGCAGCAAACGCACGTGCACTAGCTTGGATCTGATGCACATCCACCAGCCGATCCTGCACGTCACTACTGTCACCACCATGAAAGGCACTACCCCAGGTCACGACACATCCATTGCCAAGAATGACAGCAAAAGCCATGCCGCTAGCTTGGATCTGCTGCACATCCTTCAGCTGATCCTGCACGGCACTACTGTCACCACCAAGGTCAGCAATGCCCCAGGTCACAACGGATCCGTCATCACGCCTGGCAGCAAAAGCGCCTAGATTGGATTGGATGTGCTGCACATTCCTCAGCTGATCCTGCACGCTACTGCTGTCACCACCAGTGTTACCACTTCCCCATGTTATGACCGATCCGTCCACACGAATTGCGGCAAAGGCGTTGCTAGACGCTTTGATCTGCTGCACATGCTTCAGCTGATCCTGCACGTTACTACTGTCACCACCGTGAAGAGCACGACCCCAAGTAACGACGGATCCATCGGCAAGGATGGCAGCAAAAGCGGCTAGATTGGCTTGTATCTGCTGCACAGCCACCAGCTGATCCTGCACGGCCCTACTGTCACCACCATGAACAGCGAGACCCCAAGTGACGACCGATCCATCGGCAAGGATGGCAGCAAAGGCGGCTAGGTTGGCTTGGATCTGCTGCACAGCCACCAGCCTATTCTGCACAGCACTGCTTTCACCGCCCCAGCCAGGATCACCCCAGGTGACGACCGATCCATCTCCAAGAACGGCAGCAAACGCACGGTCATTTGCTTGGATCTGCCGCACATTCACCAGCTGATCCTGCACCTTACTACTGTCACCGCCATAATCGGCAGCACCCCAGGTCACGACGGATCCATCGCTAAGAATTGCAGCAAACGCACGGTCATTCGTTTGGATCTGCTGCACATTCACGAGCTGGTCCTGCACGCTCCTGCTGTCACCACCACGTTCAGTGTCACCCCAGGTCACGACAGATCTGTTGCCAAGAATGGCAGCAACGGCACAGCGACCGGTTCGGATCTGATGCACATTCTTCAGCTGATCCCGCACGACACCACTGTCACCACCATAGGCAGCATGCCCCCAGGTCACGACTGATCCATCGCCAAGGATGGTGGTAAAAGATTCGGCATTGCCGCCTACCTGAACTCGGCATATGTGCAGCGTCAGTGAGTCGCCATTCTTCAAACTGGAGTCCTTGACTGGCATAGACGCCTCCAGAACGCTCCCGAAGGAGTCTACCAGCCTTCCGTTTCCAACTCCGAGTGTTGTCAGCGCCCGACCTTTCAATGTCTCAACATCCTCATCTAAGCGAGCTTCCACAGTTGTGGTCCTGCCACTGAGCAGCCCAACTTCCACAAAAATGGACATGTTGCTCAAAGAACATACCATACGGACTCTTATAGGGGTAATGTGCAGTGCCGCTATTATCAGCAACAACCATATCTTCTTCGCTACGGGTACTAACATTCCTGAGATTGCTGGCACGAGTCGCACTGCTGTGTTGTTGATACGTCGTGCTGCGCTTGACTGAAGGAACACTGCAAGTACAACATGAACTTGAACCATCTCAAAAACAACGCCCCACCAGACCTGAACTCTGTCAGAACCCCAAAAAGGCACTGAAGCCCGAATCCTAAAAAAAGACACTTCAACCCCAAACCCTATAACCCTGACTAAGCCTCATGCAAAAATCCTAATCCCCTCTGCCCTGGGTCTCCGTGTAGCGCTCCACGGTGCTGGCGTGGAGCTCCCCTTCGACTTCCCCAGCACTCGCAAGCCGAAACTGATGGCCATTGCAGTCCTCAAGCGTTTGTTTAGGGGTTCAGGGTTTACTTGGAGGTTCATGGGACTTAGTAACTAGGGTTATAAATAAGGTAACCACACTTATGATCACTTATAACCCCAGTGAAGGTACTTATAACCTTACTTACTAAGTCTCATGATCCTCCAAGTAGCGAAGGTTTGTTCATTGGTTCAGAGGTTCAGGGCGTAGTGATCTTGAGTTTGTGTGCGCGTGAAGCCTGAGGGTTGTGGAGCTTGAATGTTGGAGGTGTACGTCCGCTCGCTTCAAAGCTGGTAAGATTCTAGCCCCAAGGGTCCAAAGCACCCGATAATTAGGTACCCGATTTTGGGATAGTAGTTCTGTAGGTTAGGATTTTGGAGAGTAGATGATTATTGGGCACTTGGACCCTTGGGGTAGGGACACTTGGCATTCGTATCGGTATAGAACTCTTTGTTTTTGTTCTTGCCCATGGTCCATGGGTATGTTTACCTCTGGTCATAACGAAGGTGTTTGTTTGCATGTGGAGTTCATTGGAGGGCGGTACACTGAGGAAATCTGTGTTGCATGCGTGACAATTAAGAGTCGAACTACGCTCGTGCATGCGCAGTGTGAAATGCCAGTCCAACAAAAAATCGAGCAGCTTTTCCGTGATTGTTGTCCTTGTGTCTTACATGAGCAAACATATCACGATATGGGGCGGAAAGGCTGAGCAGCAGGTGTTCTTCGTGGCGTATAAATGCCTAATTAAGGGTCAATTAAGGGACTTCTACAGACACTTAACCCACGACAGCTACATTGAACCCTGGTTCAGCTCTCTTTGCCGGAGCCGGGGCGGGTGTTCGGGCATGCGAGCCTCCGCACCCGGAAATTTTGAGAGGGACTACATGCGGTAAATCCCAATTCCCTGAAAATCCCAATAAACATTGTCATACTCAAAATAATGGTAATACTCCTGAGCACTACCAAGAACAGCAGCGACTGCATGAGTCAGAAATTGCGCAACCCCAGAAAGTCGGGTTCATCAGGTTCATCGACTCTTTGTCTTGTCGGGCCGCCGCACATCGAGACGCCATGCTTCCGGGATCCAAGAGAATACCTTTGGGGTGTAGGCCTTAGGGTTAGGTTTCGTTCAGTATACCAGAGGAGGCTGAGTCGGACGTGGTTCAGGGTGCAGTGTATGCTTTTGGCGACATGGAACTCTACCGGTGTTTCCGCAAGCAGGTCATCTGCAGGCAGGTCGTACCCAGAGACTGCAATACCCTTAATTAAGGAAAACACCTTAAGTGATAGTAGGATCCCTGATATGACATTAAGTATCTTCCTTCATGTAGGGATACTGGATCCTCCGGGCACTGTACCATCTCTAAGGGCGCGTTTCGCCCGGCTCATTTTGGGGAACCATAACCACATATTCCGACACTGTAATCGAAAACCCAAAACCCTAAACCGTATTAGGCAAGGGCGTCGACTCAACGACTCCGGAATGAGATGTTGGCCGTGCATCTACCGAACCAGGTGTTCAATGTATCTAAGAAAGCCTAAGAACAATCAGCCCATGCTGATCACAAAATGCCTACCACAAGCCGCCGAGCCCAACAAAGTTCAAGAAGATTTGGGCCACCAAAAGTTTAAGCGCGCAGGTGTAAGGCCGCATACACTCAAACCCAACGATCAGAGGGCGGCCGTAATATAGGGGCCTAATAATTTGAAAGAGGGTTTTGGGCCCAGTATACTGTACTAATAGGAGGAACCCCCAAAATAGTGTTGGCAATTACTTAGGCCCTTATGCTATCTGTTGCTTTGTCGGTGTGAGTGTTCCCTCCCAGCTTTGGCATTGGCTTAACCCTAGACACCAAACAGCCCTAAAACTGAAACCTAAGCTGCTTAAGCTGACACCAACCCTGGACTTAAACCCTATATGTCTACCCTAACCGCCTCCCCCCCCCCCCCCCCCCCCCCCCCCCGCCCGAAACGGCACCTACAAGAAGGGCCCTGTAAGGCCCTGGGACGTGCAAACATCCTGAAACCCTTACTTTAGGGATAATGGGACTTAGGAGCTATGGCCAGGGATATAAACAAGGTAACCACATGTATACTTACTTGTAGCCCTTGTGCATACTTACCCATGATCCTCCAGGTAAATCTTACACCCCTGCAACCTGCAACCCTTCATCCTGAACACCACTGAGGAGGATACCGTAGTGATCGAGGGTCTGCTTCAACTGGTCCTCTAGGGAGCCTCGGACAAGAAAACATGCTTCAAACTTAGGACGGGCTTCTTGCGATTTTGTGAGGACGTTTGGAGATGAGGGGTTTCAGGATCTTAGGCCGATGGCTTCCAAGGCTGGGCCTGTGGATGCTACGTTTCATTGTGGATAAGGGTAATAAGCCCTGACGATTTGGGAGCTTCAGCTAGATTGAGAGTTTAGGCCTAAAGCTCTCAACGCTACAGGAAAACCCCAGACCTAGACCCTGAACCTGTCAAGTTCGAGTTTCGTAAAATATAGACACCATCTCGCCCTGACAACTTCGCCATGCTCACGGCCGAGTCTAGACGCTCCGGTAAAGCAAGTAGGGTTGACGAATGCTGGTGGATTGAAGGCTTCGAACGCGGACAGGGCTGCGAAGTCGTTTGAGTCGCATGCTAAGCGCTCTTAAACTTGAACTCGTCGCGGCAGAGAAGGTTCGGGGTTTAAGGTTTAGGGTTTAGGATGAGGACCTTGCAAATGAAAGTCGGGACAACATCAGAACTCGTCGCGGCAGAGAAGGTTCGGGGTTTAAGGTTTAGGGTTTAGGATGAGGGCCTTGCAAATGAAAGTCGGGACAACATCAGCAACGTCATCAGCATCAACACTGACAGCAGGAATCACTACCTGGGGATCCAAAAATCTACACTTTTCGGTATTATTGTATCCTTCAATTGTGGAGCATAACCCACTATTTCAGTTTGGCGCTACAGGTAGCAACAAGCAGCTGCAGGGACTGACACCGCCGCATCCCAGAACAAACACATGTATTTGTGTGTGTGTGTGTGTACACACGTATACAATATATATATATATATATATATATATAGTATAATGTCATATGTGTATATATATATATAGTATATTCATGTAAAACCCGCCGACACACCCACAGACACAAACAAACACTCACTCCCTTCCTCTATACCGTTCCGTTTGTCAGACCACCCGGACGGCACGCATCGACACGACACCAACATTAGCACAGCAGAAGCATGTAAACAATGACGAAGAGAGATGAAAACCAGTAGCATCAAGCAGATTACAATGATCCAGCTTCCTGCGAGGCCCAACAATGCAACCATTAGTGACAGCAAAAGCAACAGCGACAGCACAAGTATACTAGAACAGAAGCCAGCATGAAAACACACTACATAAGCACCATGTCGACACTGGTTCCCATTGCACTAGCCAAGAAAGATTGTCATCGGAATGGGGTGCCATCATCGAAACCATTCGTCACGCTTTCCACCTTCATCCCGAACCCCATGACTCATAACCAGTACAGCATACCATCCTGACCACCATCATCGTCCACATCATGTGTAGCATCAGGGCCGGCAGACGCGCCATCATCAGTTCAGCGTAACAAACATCGGCGTCAGCAATGCTGCCACCATGGCCACCATTGCTTTCAAGATCATCTACCTGGCTCATGATAACTGTCATGATGATGATCATCTCCATCACCATCATCATTGACATGAAACTCAAACTGTTGTCTATTGGCTGCGAGTAACTGTATTCAGGCACATCCGCTTCTACAGCTGCCATTACAATCCGCATCTTGGTCAATGTCACCATCATGTTCATCACCGTCGTCTTTCTTAACACACTATGACCCTGCAATATGTAAGGAACCAGTCAGGGGTCTGTGCAACCCTTTGCAACGGACTAACTATCCCTGAACCCTAAACCCTCTAACCCTAATTAAACTCTAAACCCTAAATTCCTAAACCCCTAAACCCTAATTAAGCTCTATACCCTACCTACCTCCCGAATTATCAAGCCCTGGTTCAGGCCAGGCGCTCCGAGGCACTGCACAGGCGCCTGTATGGCGAGAGCCCTGCAGTAGAATCATCTCACGCTTCTCCTCGCTTCGTTTAGGGTTTAGGGTTTAGGATTTAGGGTTTAGGGTTTAGGATTTAGGGTTTGGGGGTTTAGGGTTTAGGGCTTAGGGTTTAGGGTTTAGGGGTCGTTCTCAGATGCTCCGACGGAAGGGCTTAGAATCTAGAGCTATGCGAAAAGTCTAGTAGGAAAGACACAGACACAGCGAGAGCGGGAGAGAGAGACAGAGACAAAGAGACAGGGAGAAAGAGAGACAGAGAGAGAGAGAGAGATAGAGCGACAGAGAGACAGAGAGAAAGACAGAGAGAGAGAGAGAGAGATACAGAGAGAGCGAAACACAAGACATGGCTTCTTTGGGGAGGTTTGGTGTAGAGGCATTTGGCCCAGGACTTAGACCTGGGTCTAGTTCAAAAAGCACAAGCTCCTAGGCCATTTCAAGCTACAAGGTGCGGGTTTCTTAATGTAGGTTATTTCTTCATGGAGGAAGTGCTATACTCTGAACTCTGGGTCGCTGAGTCTCGCATGGTGCCCTTGTAGCCCTCTCGAGCCGTGTCGAGAAGCTTTTTCGGTTCTGTTTGCAAGGGTGCCGTACTACTTCTTGGGGACCCAAAAAGCAACCCTATAATGTAGAGAACTACCCACGGTCATGTAGCTTCCCTCCTCCGCAGCCAGCGCAGCTGCGTCGGCGATGCTGTCCTGGTCTCTCCAACCCCGCATGTCAGAAACCCTACAGCTCGACCGGGGCCTTAATAATTAGAATAGGGCTTTGAGGCCCATTATACTATATCTACATATTTATAATAAGCAACCCCCCAAATGGCATTGGTAAGTATTAAGGCCCCTGTATTCAACTCTGGACTTGACCAGAACTTAAACAACCCAGAAGTTGGAACATTATTGAAACTATACTGAACTTAGAACCCTAGCAAAAATTACAATTTTTGCTGTTTCTTAGGGGTTATAATAACAAAAAATAAAAATTATTTCTAAGTACGCCTAAGGAAAGAGCTCGAAACCTTCAAGGTGCGAGCATGGGAGTCACAGAGGCTTCTGCGGAGGCTAGCCACAACAGAGGGATTTAGGGTTTAGGTGTTTACGGTTTAGGGTTTGGGGTTACCTTATCCCCCCAAACCCCCCCGCGTACATATACCCTATAGTAACTTTGGCCTTGAAAACACCTATGCTGGAAGCCCTTGAAGTCCGAAGTGCATACAATGCAGTTACATGGTGCCTCAAAGGAAGGGAATTGCTAATTGCTGAGGCCCACTGAGAGAAAAATGGCCGAAATCATAACCTGAGGCTTCAAGGTCGAATATATAGGCCTTAACCATTTGCTGTATATATGAAGGGATTGAAAAGGTATACTGTTAGTAAATGATTCCGACCCCTATGTTACGAACCTGACGGTAAACGCCACCAAAAAACCCTGAAGCCCCACAAAGACAGAACCCTTACTGCAACTCGCAAGCTCGTTGAGGCGCGAAATCTTCTTCTACCTCTCAAGACAGACAATGTTGACATCATTCGTGGCAGAATAACATATAATACCTGTGACCCCAAACCCTACAAAATAATGACCCCTTACCTAAACCCCTATACCCTAAACCCTAAACCCTAAACCCAAACAGAGTGTCGACCCCTTCAGACGATGGGTTTTTGGGTCCCCAGGTAACAACTGACCCCAAGCCATACCTGTAGGCTCATACCATACCCCTGTTTTAGTGCATCTACTTTTCTAGGATACCCAGTAACCTAAGAATAAAAAGGCCTCTCTTTTTGGTATTGGGTAACTTTATAAGGAACCTAGGACTACAAAAAGGGAATAAGGGTACTACTGGGCATCCTAGTTTTCTATTTAACAGATCCTAACCATGAAACTAGGAATCACGGAAAAAGGGGTAGGGTATGAGCCTCCTATAAGGGATCTATAGGGGTACCAAAATATAGGGGACTTAAAGATTAGAATAGGGTTTGGGGTCCCATTTTACGATATTGTTAAGAATAAGGAACCCGTGAAATAGTATTGGTACTGATTTAGGCCCCTGAACCAAGTAGCCACGATGGCCGTGTCGAAGCCCGCGAACCGAAGCCTACGGCCCAACTTGACCTTCAGCTTGCGGGGGTTTGGGGTTTCGGGCTTGAAGGCTTAGGGCGTGGGGTTTAAAAGCGTAGGACACTGCACTCTCTGTTTGATTATTGGGGTTTGGGGCGAATTGGGGTTTAGTTCTGTTGGGGTTCGGGGTTTATGCGCGAGGGTTCAAAAGATCTAGTGCTCGCTGTATTTAGGATATGGCAGTGACGGCTTTTGCGTTGGAGGATATAGGCTTGGCCATGGGTTTCGGGTTTAGGGTAGCGTAAACCCTGTGTAGCTGTGGGGCCGTCTGACCACTGAGGGCTTCGCAGGACCAGGGACTCCGCAGGTCCCGCTTCTAGTAGGCCTTATGCATGCAGTTAAACAAATCAGTATAGCTATAAGTATGATAATAATACTGTTAAGATTAGTGTTAGTATTATGGTATTTGTATGAATAAAGAGTATTCGTAAGGCCTCTAACCTGCTCACCATAATCCAAGCAAGCCCAGGTTTTGGGGTTGAGGGTTAGGGGGTTCCAGGTCCCAAACATTATCCTCTGAATGGTGTTTTGCACCTAAAACTCTACTATTCGGGAACTTGGAGCCTAGCGTAATTATTCAAACTCCCATGCTCTGCCATAACAGTCATATGGACTGTAAGGCGCATCTGTTACAAACCGGTCAAACTCCTGTCTTTGCTTCTTCGCCTGCTTGGTGCTGCGCTAGCAACGCATCTGGGATCGAGGTTCTTCATCCCTATTGACTGGTTTCGGGTGTAATTGGAGGATCTTGGAACTTAGCAAGTAGCGATAGAAGTACCTTATATAACTAAGGCTACAACTAATTTCAAGTATAGCTACCTTATCAATAACCGTAGCTACTAAGTCCCATGATCGTTTGATTCGTTGATTCGGAGTTAGGGGTTGGAGGCTCAAGGGTTTGCGCAGTTGAGGGCTTAGGAATTCCATAAACCCACAAGTCCTAATTACACTGTAAACCTCTTCCTCAGACTCTATCAATTTACCAAGATCGGGTTAGGTGCAGACCAAGAACCTGGGTCCAGGAGGCCCAGGCATTCTGGATTTGGCGAAGCTCCAGAGGGCTCTTACCACCTGAACTTTCGACGGGAATCTGCGAGCAATGTCCCGCATCGCCGGGAGGAGGATGCTGGTCATCGCCAGCATGCTCCACCTGTCTCCCTGCGGCAGAGATCCCGCAATCGTGATGCCTCCTGGAAGCGTCTCACCCAGCAGTTGAAGGTGCCTGACCTGGTTGCTCCTGTCCGCAAGCAGCAAATTCGCCACCTTGGTCTCCAAACTCAAATGTTTCATGGTCTTGACGGCCAAAGCTGGGTCGGCCATGTCAAAAGCCTTGCTGAGGTCCAACGTGCCAATGAACTAGTCCTCATGCGTGCATTTGATGAGATGCCAGCTGCATCTTGGACCCCTTGCCGGGCATCCCTCCTCTACAACTGTATCCAGAACAACTACAAAGAAGTAAGTGCTGCCATAGGCTAGTGTTAGTACTAAGTACTATAGTACTACTGTGAATGTCAAAACTACTACTACTACTACTACTACTACTACTACTACTACTACTACTACTACTACTACTACTACTACTACTACTACTACTACTACTACTACTACTACTACTACTACTACTACTACTACTACTACTACTACTACTACTACTACTACTACTACTACTACTACTACTACTACTACTACTACTACTACTACTACTACTACTACTACTACTACTACTACTACTACTACTACTACTACTACTACTACTACTACTACTACTACTACTACTACTACTACTACTACTACTACTACTACTACTACTACTACTACTACTACTACTACTACTACTACTACTACTACTACTACTACTACTACGGCATTATTCGACATCTTTTACTACAGAACTGCAACTCCAAATTGCTGGGGGTCCCGGCCAAGCTTCCAGGCACCACGAATCGGAGCTGGCTGCCTCCGGTTTGATTTACAGGGAGGGCGGGAGAGTGAGAGAGAGAGCTAGAAAGAGAGCGGGAGAGTGAGAGTGAGAGAGAGAGAGAGCTAGAAAGAGAGAGAGAGAGAGAGAGAGAGAGAGAGAGAGGGAGAGGGAGAGGGAGAGGGAGAGGGAGAGGGAGAGAGAGAGAGAGAGAGAGCGAACCAGACGGTGAATAAATTGTCATGAACGGTGGCCTGTTTTCAAAACTGCTGAAGTACACACGCTAGACACGCCACAACAGTCCTTTCTGCAGAAAAAACAGCACCATCAAACCAGACCCAAAGCCCTAAACCTTGGTCGTGCCTCGAGCGCTCGCGCGTGGAGTGGCTACGCACAGCGCCCGCTGCGGCTGGCTGTCGGCCAGCCTGGGAGCTACGAACTATTTGAAAGGTTTTTTGGTTTAGGATTTAGGGATTTAAGGTTTTAGGGTTTAGGGTTTTAGGGTTCTTATCAGGGACTGATAGCGGCCGTAATTAGCTGTTCGATACTGGTTCTGTACAGGTTCTACAATGGCTTTGACGAGGGCTCTAAAGTTCCAAAGGTTTGCTCTTGGGTTTGCAAGGTTGTCACGGTTCAAGATCCAGAATACGGTGTCAAGATGGTGCAAGGTTCTGGGTAGGTCGGTAGAGAACGGCTTTGTGATGCTCAACTCTTGTTAACCACCACGCCTCGATTGGACGGGCTCGGCAAAACCAGAAAATGCAGATTTGCTTGAGTTTTTAGTTCCCCCCCATCCCCATTAAGCAGCACAAACAGTTTCAGGAAACCTGATCAGCTGGGCTTGCCCCGGCAGTCTTAGTTCACAAGGCAAGCCTAGAAGCATCACGGACTCTCAGAGTAAACTGGGCCCTAAACCTTGAACCGCTGCTCCTCATAAGCGAGCTAGAACTTGACATAAACCTGCTACTCACAAACCACCAAACCCTAAGGGTCCATGTACTCATACAGTATATACATTGGCCTTAAAGTACTCCCTGTGTAGGTACATTGGCTCCAAAGTATATACTATTTGGGTACATGGACCCTTAGGGTTAAAGCCCAAGGCCCAAGTCTTCAAATCCCTTGAAATCTAGAGCCCGATGAGGGCCCTCACACAACCTTCTATGATACCTCACAAATCCCATTGCAAAAGCTATACGCCTTGAACCCTATAAACACCGCTCAAGCCCCTAACTCCCAACCCCTAGCGCCCCATGTTCCCCCCCCCAAACCCTAAACCCCAGCAAAAGCCTCGCTGGATTGGCTGCCCGCTCCTCCAGAATGCAGGAGTGGGAATTTCCGAAAAGTAGGGGAGTATGTTATGTTTTGGTGTTCTTATAATACAAATCGTACTATTTTGGGGAACCGGTACTATATTAGGATCCCATATGTTCGGAAACTCCCAATTCACGTGCAGGGCTGAGGCTCAGCCGGGATTTAAGGGGGGTCGGGGATGCTACGGAGATTGAGGTGGTTGAGGTGTCGGGGTCTACCTATAGTCTCCATTGTAGTTCCTTTTTTGGGGTTATCCCATTTTATGGTTAGGACCCTATAATAGAGATTTTGGGTAACCAAAAAAAGGAACTACAATGGAGACTATAGGTAGGGCGTAAGGCTTTGAGGCTTCAGGGTATAGGGATGAGGTCAGGGGCTTAAGGGTCTAAAGGCTCTTCACAAGACTTGAAGCTACTATTGATGATATAAACCCTGCATTACCTTAAGGACCCTAAACTGCGGGAATTATGGTATATTCCTGATTATGGGAACATGCAGGATTTATATCATCAACCGTAGTTCAGGTGTTATTCAGAGTTTGGAGGTGTTGGGCTCACATAAGACGTTTCAAAGGCTCGACTTAATCAGGGCTTCAGGAAGTACAGGAATTTGGGAACCGTAAACCCTATACTCCCTTTTTCGAAAATCGGGAGACCTCTTCCCAAACTGCAGGAACACCTGCCAAACCCATGTCAACTGGCACCATCAATCCCCCCCCAAAACTTCCCTGAACCCCTGAAGCCCTACACTTAGACCGTAAATTCTCAACCCCGAACCCTCAACCCTGAACCCTAAAGCCTGCCCGCCTTGAGCCCTTCAAAACCCACTGCCTGAGGTTTTGGGATCCCAATTCGCAGAGTAATGCTCCGATTGTGGAGACCTCAGCTCTGTGGGGGAGTATATATATGGTCTATTCTTGGGGTTCCTGAGAAGGGGTCTATGAGGGTTCCCTTTAATTAGAAGGATCTATACAGGTTCCGTTAAAGGGATCTATAGGAGCTTTTGGGTGTTTGTTTGGAGTTTTGGGTCTAAAGTTTAATGGTGCGTCGCTTTGGGGGGTGTGGGCTTTGTCGGGGGTTGAGGGTTCAGGGTTTGGTCTTCTTTTGGTTGGAGGGGGGGTTAGGGTTTGGGCTTGAGGCTTTTTGGGGCTTAGGGTTTGGTTGTTTTAGGGTTTAGGTTTTGGGTGTTTTGGGTTTTAAGGCTTCGGGGTTTCGAGTTTTGTGCATCATAGGGTCTAGGGCATTCAACGTTGAAGGTTTGCGGAAACCTGACCTGTTTGGGTTTTCAGAAGGGTCTCAGGCGGTAGTGGTTTAGGTTGAGCGGTTGAGTTGATTCTGAGGCTTTAACAGCTAAACCCTAAACCCCAAGCCCTAAACCCTGGGTTCGTGGATGTTCGTGGCATCGCATTCAAGGTTTCGACGTTTCACGGGGACTTCAATTGGGTTCGGCGTCGGCTTTGTGCAACCTCACTAGACCTCTCTTAAGATTTGCAGTTTGGGGCGCATGGGGTTTTGACAGCAGCAGCTCTTGATGGCTTTGGCTCGGAGCTTCTGGCAGTAAGGCTTGGGTTGGGGGGTGCAGTTCCTAGGGTTGAGGGGTTGAGGGGGGTTCTGATGAAGTCAACCTGGGGTTCTCTAGGGTTTGGAGGTTTCTGGGCGAGCTTTGCATCATGCGCATACGCCTGAGATTTACTGAGGTGTTGAAAGGCCCTAAAGAACTCCCGAAACGTACATCCCCAAAGGCTCCATGTACCTTTATAGTAGATACTTAAGGCTTGAAGGGGTCCCTCCATAGGTACTTCAAGGCCTAGTTATGTACTATATGGGTACATGGAGCCTTCGGGATCTAGGTCTAGTGCAACTGAGATGGAGACCTTCAGCAGCACGGCTTGTCTGATGGAGCACGCGGACGATGAGGTATGACTCGGAAGTATGGGGCTTGGAGGCTTCGGATAAGTTCGGGCTTCGGGCTTGCCTGTTGCGGGGTTCACCAGTAAGTGCAGGCTTAAAGTAAAAGTTGCCGAAATAAGTCAAACAGGACGGGGGGCAGGGGAAGGTGGAGGGGGAAATCCCAAAAGGTCAGTCTTGCAGTAGAAGGACAACACTGCACGGGTCCGAGCGGGACATCCAGCTTTCGTGCCATCTCGAATTCGCAGAAGAGTAGGTGATTCTGTTGGTTGTGGCTTTAGGGGATATAGGTATTTTGGGGGTTCAGGCTTGAGGTTTGGAGTTGACAGCTCGTGCTTTGGAGTTTCCTGCTTGCCTCGCTCATCAGAGGCGGGGAGCACCTGCAGCAATGGCCTGAGGCCTGAACCGTAACCAGAGTCGGAAACACTTTCCAACCTGAACCGTGAAAACACAAATCCCTCAAAACCAGAAACGCCAGACCCTAACCCTCAAACATATAATATGTGCATATATACTGAAACCCTAAACCGTGGGCCCGAATCCTAAATCCTATGCTAACTTTGGACCCTACCCTCAAAGCCCTCAGCCGGATACAATAAGTAGCCGGAGGTCTCGAAGTATAAACAGTGCACCCGAATTACATTCCTGAAAGCCCCCAAGCCCCCAGTACAACATAGGTTACTTGAAATGCAGTTTGGGGGTACTGTATGCTAAAGGCATAATCATAACAAAGGAAAGCTAAGGAACGCTCTGGGAACATATCGGTATTTACTCAAGCTTCTTATATTATCAGATGTTAGGCCGTGCAACTCAACTCCCAAACTCCCAGGGCAAAAGGAGGGACCCTTAACAAGGACCCCTAGGTATATACCCTTATATAGCTGTTATATACCCATGATATAGCCCGTTATAGGGTAGGGGTCCGCATTAAGGGTCCCTCCTTTCCCCTTTGACAAACCACAAGTCTTGAAGTCCCGAACCCAAGATCCTAAACACCCAAACTCAAGAATTCCAAATCCCAAACCCTTCACCCAAACCCGGAACTTCACTGAACAAAACCCTAGAACCCCTTAACAAAAAGCCACGAAGCTGGTTTATCCGAGAAACAGAACCTCCGTCGTAAAACTCCTAAACCCTTAAACCCTAAACCCTAAAACCCTTCAATCCTAAACCCTTAAACCCTAAACCAAAAAACCCTTAAATCCTAAACACTTAAACCCTAAACCCTAAAACCCTTACCCTTAAACCCTAAAACCCTTAAATCCTACACCCTTAAACCCTATACCCGAGAAACTCAAAAACTTCTTCGCCCAGGCCAAGCCACAGGACCTCCCACCCCGGACACCCTGAGCTGCCGCAAAGTCAGGCATCCTCGAAGGGTAGGACTTTAAGGGCTTAGGGTTTAAAGGGTTTAGGGCAGTTCAGGGTTTTAAGGGTGCAGGGATTAAGGGTTTAAGGGTTTAGGGCTTTAAGGGTTTAGGGATTTAAGGGCTTTAGGGTTTAAGGGTTTAGGGGTTTAAGGGTTTAGGGTATTTGTGAAGGGCCTACGGCCTGAAGGCGGCTATAAGTGGCCTATACATACTGCGTATGCCTTATGATGTCGGCTGCAAACAGGACAGTCTTGATCAACATCAGTAATTCAATGCCATTCCTACTATTGTTATTGTTGCTGTTACGGTTACTGCTACTCTTGAAAAAGACGCGGTTGTTGCTGCTACTGCTGCTGCGACCGGAGCTGCTGCTGATGCTGCTGTTGCAGCGGCTACTGTTCTTGCAGTTGGTGTTGCTGCTGCTGTTGTTGTTGCTGGTGTTGTTGCCGCTGCTGCTGATGCTGCTGGTGCAGTTGTCGCTGTTTTTGTTTTGTTTGCGTTGTTGTTGTTGCTGTTGGTGGTGGTGGTGGTGGCGGTGATTATCGGGTGCTTCAGCTCAGGTGCTAAGAATAATACGCCTCAGCGGAATCGGATATGACTGTGTTTCGGGATTAGGGCCGTGAGGCTTGGAGGTTGGCGATGCTGGGAGGTGTCTGAGGTTCAGGGCAGTTCTGCACGGTTTCGGCACTCAGATTGAAGGGTTGGGTCTTAGAGACTCGAGGATTCTTCGCGAGGTCTTTAGGGCTGGTTTTTGGGCTGTGCCTGGGGAAGCAATGTATGCTACCTTCTGCAGCTACAACCATCGGGAGTGTCTCAACGTGTGCACCTAAGCCCTAAGCCCCTGAGTCTCAAACATTTAAGGTTTAGGGTAGTATTGTTATTACTATTGCTATTCCTGTTATAACTATCACCATTACTGATACTATCACTATTACTCATGAAGAGAGTGTATTTGGGAGTCCAGGTTTTTGTGTTCGGGGTTCAAGCGCGGTCCTTGTGACTCCTTGCTGGCCAGCGGATATTCCCAGCCGGCTTGCAAGGCAATCTCACCAACTTCACCTTGGGCTTTACTGTTAGGGGCCTGAATCATTCGAATAGGGTTTTTGGTGCATATCATTCCATAATTGAAGTAAGGAATCCCCCAACTAGTATATGTAATTGTGTAATTCAGGCCTCCATATTATGGGAGTCAGGCTTCCCAGCTTAAGGCTTAGGGACTCGGAGGATGGAGCACTCTGGTATTGAGCCCCGAATAATAGGACCCTGCCTTTAAGGGCTCCTACCAGAGGTATCACGCTTTTCTGAAAGCCCCTCTCTCTCAGCAGCACTACCAACCCCGCTATGAATCATAGTTCCTGTCGGGACATCCAGAGTTTGATTCTATGGGCAAGCCTACAGCAGTAGAGGGCTCAGAGGATAAAGGATATGGAACATCTGCTGATCTGCTTTCATGACTCAAATGTGCAAGTATCACTAGTACCTAGAGAACCCGGCTCAAACAATCAGTCTAAATCATTACTCAAAGCAAGAAGCGAGCCTCTATGGCAGTGGGAGCTACAAGCCACGTGAAGCCCTCTGAAACAACATGAAACCGTACGAATCCCATGCAAGCTATGCATATGGGCGGTTGTCAAAATTGTAGTCCCTTTTTGGGTCCTTATAATAATACGGCACCTAATATTTAGGGTACCCCAAAAGGAGCCATAATTTTGACAACTACACATATCCACGTAAAGCTCCTAAGCCCTAAAACCCAACAACACCTTGACGCCACACAAAAACCCAAATCCCCCCCCCCCCCCCCCCCCCCAAATCCTCAAAGCTCAACTCCAACAGAACATAGCCTCAAAATCCTAAACCCCAAACCTGTATGCATCCCTGCGAGTCGCCCCTGATTATAGGGACCCTTCTTGATGCCCTAAACCGCCTACCCTATGCCCATATAGTATATACTTAGGCCTTAAAGTACCTATACAGGGACCCCTTTAAGGCCTAAGTATCTACTATCTGGGCACATGGAGCCTTAGGGCTAAAGCAGGTCCAGGCTGCCCTCGATGCGCAGCAGCGGCAACTCCAGCGCCGACGCTTCGCCGCCAAGCCGTGCCAGTGCAGGCAGCCACGCCTGCCTTCTGGCGTAGGGTTTAGGGGCCTGAATAATTGAATTGGGTTCCTTTACAGGGGTCTATGAGGGTTACTATAAGGGATCTATAAGGGTACCCTAATAATAAATTCGGCGTTAGGGTTCGGCAGCATCCTATAGATGCGCCTTCAGGTTGCAACTTCGGGCTCTAAATTCTACAAGAAGTACCAGTTTCCGGGCCACAGGGAATTTTGGCATAACACTAACTCAGACACGTCTCGCAGAACTAACAATGCTTTAGGACGGCTTACAGGCTCAGGCCTTGCATTTCAGCATTTCAGACACCGGGGTTGTCATGAAATCTTCCGCTTCAGCTGAAGATTCGCTGTGTATTTCAAAACTTTGCTCTCAATGCCTCGTCCATCTATCGCTCTAGCTCTCGCTCTCTTGCGCTCGCTCACTCAGGCAGAAATAATGTGTCCCTCTGCGCTGGCTCATCTGTCTAGACTCGTTGATCGCACAGCTCACAGACCACAAACTGAGACTCTTAACAGTTTATGTGAGTAGTTCTCTATAACTAGGGGCCCCTTTACAGGAAGATGAGGGACCCTAAGTTTGAGAACTACTCATGTCTTTGATTCATGACCCTGACTAGTCCGCAGACTTCGATGCCGAGCTCAAGCACCCAGCAGTAGCCCGGACATCCGGAACGCCTTGCCCATCCCTTAGGCTCCATGTACCTAGATAGTATAGTAGACATAGGCCTGAAATAAAGGGGGTTCCTCTAGAGATACTTTGAAGCCTAGGGTATGTACTACCCAAAGGCTCCATGTACCTTTATAGTCTTATAGTAGATACTTCGGCCTTAAAGGGGTCCCTATATCGGTACTTTAAGGCCTAAGTATATACTATGTGGGTACATGGAGCCTTAGGGCTATATCGGCACATGGAGCCTTAGGGGCATGCCCTAACCTGAATCCCACAGAACGCACCCCTGCTACAAACCGGCCGCAACATCCCCTAAGGCTCCATGTACACATATAGTATACATTTAGGACCCAGAGTCCCTGAATAGGGACTGCTTTAAGGCCAAAGTATATACTATAGACTCTAGACTATAAAGGTACATGGACCCTTTGGGTTCGAGACCCTAAACCAACATGAAAGCCGCAAGCTCAAACGACCCTAAATCCAACTAGCCGCCAAGCTTAAGCCTCTGAATGGGTGAATGGATCATGTGTGTGTGTATGTGTATATATATATATATGTATATATATATATATGTAGGTCCTGTGAATACAAATATGAATATGAATATGTATATATATATATATATGTATATATACATATGTATATGTATGTATATGTGTGCGTATACTGTAAACAGGTAGATCGATAGGTAGGTAGGTGGGTGGATATCTAGATAGAGAGCATATACATGCTTTGACCCTCGAAGTGCGTTCATGGGAACCCCTTCAAGCCTAAGCCAATATAGGGGCCTTAGGGAACACAAACATATCCACAATGGCGCACCCGAAGAAGGCGTTCCGAGCGGTCCGGAGAACGACTTCGTCCCAAACCGTCAAGCAAACTTTCACCTGGCGGCACGGCCCGGGGTTCAGGGTTTAGGGACTTTCGCTTACTCTTCATCCAACTCAATGAAGCAATAGGATTTGGCGTGCCTAAGGTCCCGAATCTTGGCCCCCGTGCCAAGGCCGCATCTACAAACCGCATGCTGGCACAAAAAACCTGAACTGCACCCAAACGAATAGAGAAAGAAGCCGTGGTACCTAACCTGTACCCGAAAGACTAGGGTAGCCGCAGTACTCAGTACGGCAAACGAACTCTGTGGGTTGGGTGCTACGGCAACACTCCCCCACCCTCTAACATTGTTTCGCTGAGGTCAGTTAAGCTTTCCAGTTCTGGAAGGACTGTTGAACGAAACATGCTGAGTAGTGCTAGGCAACGCCAAACTTTCATGAAACCCTAAACCCTACACCCTAAACCCTACAACCCTAAACCCCAAAACCCTGAACCCTACAACCCGAAACCCTGCAACCCTACAGCTCCAAAACCCTAAACCGTTAGAACCCTACACCCTACAACCCTAAAACCCAAAGAACCCTACAACCCTAAACCCTAGAGTGCCCTTTAAAGGAACCCTTATAGATCCCTTCAAAGGAACCCTGAAACCCGAAGCCCTGGGCTCCTGGCCCTAGCTTGCCTGTCCCCATCGAGGCTTCGTCTCGCCGAGGTCCAAGATGAACTGCAGCCCCTGCCAGGTTTCGGGGTTTACTTGGAGGGGCAGGGGACTTAGTAAGGGTTCTTAAAGGGCTCCTTAAAGGGATCCTTAACGGGATCTATGGGGTTTAGGGTTTAGGGTCTACTTGGAGGGGCAGGGGACTTAGTAAGTCGTTTATAAGCAGGGTTATAATTGGGGTAACTCCATTTAGGGTACTTATAACTCTACTTATAACCTACTTACTGGGTCCCCTGCCCCTCCAAGCAGGGCTCCTGTAAAGGGATCTACAAGGGTTCCCTTAAAGGGCACTCTAGGGGTTTAGGGTTTAGGGATTCACGGTTTCAGGGTTTAGGAGTTTAGGGGTTTAGGAGTTTGGGGGTTTGGGGGGTTTAGGGGTTTGGGGGTTCAGGGATATGGTGGTTATATAGAGGGTTTAGGGGTTTCAGGGGTTTGGGGTTTAAGGGATCTATACGGTTCCTGTAATAAGGGCTCCTTTAAAAGATCTATAGGGTTAAGGGGGGATCTATAGGGTTTAGGGGTTTAGGGTTTAGGGGTTTAGGGGTTTGGGGTTTAAGGGATCTATACGGTTCCTTTAAAGCGTTCCTTTAAGGGATCTATAGGGCTTAGAGGGGATCTATAGGGTTCAGGGGTTTAGGGTTTAGGGGTTTGGGGTTTGGGGGTTTAAGAATTTAGGGGCTTGGGGGTTTGGGGATTATATGGGGGTTTAGGGGGTTTGGGGATTAGGGGTTTAGGTGTTGAGGGGTTCAAGGGTCTAGGGTTGAGGGGTTTAGGGGTTTGGGGACCTAAACTTTAGTTAGAGGATAGCTTGCCCAGTTTGGGTAATAATGCCACCGTCAACCCATTACACGATTATTCCTATACTCCCCTCTACACCTCACCCAATATATCACTACTACTTCCCCATTATACGATCATTCCTAGGGTCCCCCCTACACTCCACCCAATATATCACTACTACTTCCCCATTATACGATTATTCCTAGGGTCCCCTCTACACTTCACCGATATATCACTACTACTTCCCTATTAGATGATCATTCCTAGGGTCCCCCCTACACTCCACCCAATATATCACTACTACTTCCCCATTATACGATTATTCCTAGGGTCCCCTCTACACTTTACGGATATATCACTACTACTTCCCTATTAGATGATCATTCCTAGGGTCCCCTACACTTCACGGATATATCACTACTACTACCCCATTATCAATACAATTATAGGAATAACCATTAGCCCTAAACCGTGGTTTGGGTTTGACGCCATCCAGGCTCTGGGGTTGCAGTAGAGGTTGAGCCTTGGGAATGCTGGGCACCATACCCAAAGGCTCCATGTGCCTTTATAGTAGATACTTCGGCCCTAAAGGGGTCCCTATATAGGTACTTTAAGGCCTAAGTATATACTATGTGGGTACATGGAGCCTTAGGGATAGGAAAAGCTGTCCTGCTTGCCTGTGTTGTGCAACTCAACTGTGGGCCATGCAGCCTGAGCCTGGCCTGCGCAAGGACCTCCACACCAGAACCCTCTGCAACCCTAAACCCTTTACCCTGAATCCTAAAGCCCTAAACTCGCTGAAGCTTGAGGGTCGAGACACCACCAACTAAAACAGAAGCCTGATTACTTAAACAACGCTAGTCCTTAGGCCTCATATATATATATATATATATATACATGCGTATATCGATGCACATACGTACCTGTGCAAATAAAAAATAAATAAATATGTATATATATATATATATACATATGTATACATAGATTGACAGTTGCTTTTGCAATGGCCCTGTGGTGTCGAGCCTCGCTGCTGGGCAAAGAGCACGTCTGCTCGCCGAGGACGCAGAATGCCACGGCTTCAAGGCACCTGAAGTGAACTTCTAGGGTTCAGGCTTTAGGGTTCACCCAAAGGGTCCTAAGTACCATGGTAGAATGGATGGTTTCTATTTTTGTAATTACTATTATGATTTGGAAAAGTATCCCCCACAACAGTACCTAGGACCCTGCGGGGAAGTGAAGCCTGCCCAAACAAGCCCAGCAATAGAGGGACCTTAGTAATGAGAAAAGGGTTTCGTGGTATGTTATTTCAGTTTACTTCTGCAGGGACTGAAGGGGGTACTGCGCATTGCTTATTCTGATCCTGATGGGAGGCCAAAAGGGGGTTTAAGATTCTTGGGGTAGGGATTCCTTACTATGAACCCTATTATGGGAACAACGCATGCCAATGTACGTTGCTCCAGAACCCTTAAAGCCCCCTTAGAAGCCTCAGAAAAGCCATAACATACCGTAACTAATATCTATTTCGCAGTATCTCAGTGGAGTAGATTGGAGCTTCATTAGATCAAGAACGATCACTCTATCTATATACATGTATATATAGTAGTAACTGAAAGAATTGCATCAACTCCAAAGACTAAGTGTTGCTAGAGCTGTTAGAGAAGCCACCGGCAAGACGCTGGTCGAAGAAAGGCCTGCTTGGAGGGGCAGGGGACTTAGTAAGTCGTTTATATAAGCAGGGTGATAGTTGGGGTAACTCCATTTAGGTTACTTATAGCTCTACTTATAACCTGGTTGCTAAGTCCCCTGCCCCTCCAAGTAGGAAGGGCCTACATCCTTCACACCAGGGGCTCATCTCTGGAGGGTTCCTTTAAGGGGTTCATCTGCGCAATGTAGCGGCCTTCAGAATTAGAATAGGGTTTCGGGGCCTTTCCTACTACAATCATAACAAGGAGCTCTCCAAAATAGTGTTGGTAACTATTTAGGCCCCTATATTCGATTCTGTATGCGTTGGCCTTACAAGCTGATACCATGCGGGCACATGGCTGGCATTGACTGGCCCTACAAAGACCCTTGATAACACCAAACCTTCAGAATAAGCCCAGGCGCCAACTTTCGCCGACCCTGCCGTGGAAAGCTTCCCACTGCGGCTTGAGGAGGAGATCGCCGCAGCCCTGGATTGACAAGAGGCTCAAAAATCCCTTCGCTCAAGAATCCTCCTCAAGTTGAACTGACGGGAGTCTTCGTTGAGCTCTTTTGGAGTCTCTTTGCGGTGCAAGATTCAGAAGTCTTTTTGTGGGTGTTTTCGAATCGAGGATGGCGGGGTCACGGCCCGTACACTTGGTCTTTGGGGGGAATAGGCGGCTTGCTTTGTCGATGTTGTCTTCTTGCCACTGTTGTACGTAGCCATAAACGTACCTCAGTTGGTCCTTCGAGGGCAGCTACATCACGCCGCAGTTGGCCAGCCTCCTGACGTGGTGCATATTATGCTGTGGTTGGAGTGTCAGCGTGCGATCGACTCCTGTTGAACAGGGTTCTGTAGCCAGCTGGTACACACGGACGTCATAGCGCGATTCGCGTAGCCTGCCAAGCCCCAGCGGGAGTAGATGACGCAGACAAACTCGTCTATGGACTCTGCGTCACTACATGCGTCACTACACTCTGGGCCGCCGCTAAAGAGCTGCTTGGTTGGCTGCAGCACCTCTACGCCTGGCACCGTGAAACTGAGATACGTACTAATGGCCGAATCAAGACCCATTACCTTGCGCCAAAGGTCGTCCCCCCGGCGGGCGTCCAGCGTAAGCACTCGCAAACCAAACGTTAAGCCCTCAGCCATCTAAAATCTAAAACCGGAGCCAGGTGCAAGTCAAAAACCTACCACCGAAACCTAACCCTAAACCCTTAAACCCTAAACCCTTTAAGCCGCCCTAAACTCTAGACTCTTGGCCCGACCCTAAATCCCGAACTGCATTCTGTAAGCCCTATAGCTATGAGAGTTTCCGAAAATAGGGGACCCTAATATAGTACCCTAGATAGTAGGACCGCAAAATCAGGCACCCCTAATTTTCGGAAACTCCCCTATATAACTCCCAAGACCCAAAGCCAGGAGTTTGCGGCGTGAGGTGAAGGCTCGCGGTTGAGGTCCTAGAGATGTACCTTGGGATCCGAAAACCTACCGTTTGAAGGGTTCTACCCTCTAATAAATCCGCCGAGGCCCTCCTCCCTGCTGGTGACCCCGGCTTCCCCTCATTTTACCTGATTTGTCGCCCCCCCCTCCCAGGCCTCCCCCCCCTCCCCCCCCTCCCCCCCCCCTCCACCCCCCTTGTACCAGTTCTCCTCGCACCGAGGCGGGCGGCGTAGCGTTAAAATTAAGGGGTCCTAGCCTACTATTTTATTGGGTTTGGGGCCACAGGTAGGGTTTGAGGGCTCAGGGATTTAGGGTTTAGTAGGGCTCAGGGGGTTTAGGATTCAGGGCTTAGGGGCTTTATGGATCTCAATGGGTCGGAATACTTAGAAACCATATTCCCAAATAACTTAGACCCCAATAGTAGATTATGACCCCTTCGTTAGAGGGTCGAACCCCTACAACAGTAGGTTAGTAGGTTTTAATGGGTCCCCAGGAAAGTATTCCAACTACCCTTTATTATACCCTCTACCCACTGTTAAACACCATAAGGGCTGTATCACAGGGTACTTGGGGGGTCCTAAACCCCTAAACCCTAAACCTCGAAACCCCTCAACTAAAACCCTAAACCCCAAACCCCTAAACCCTACACCCCTAAGCCCTAAACCCCTAAGCCTTAAACCCTTACTAAGCCCTAAACCTCTAAACCCTAAAGCCCTAAACCCTAGATCCCCACGAAGTTGTCCCTAGAACCCAGAGACTCCAATATCCCTTAATTTAGGAATTTACCTTAAATTATAGTAGGATCCCTTATACGATTTAAGGAATATTCCTTAATTAAGGGACTGGGAAAGCCGCAAAATCAACCTGCATCTCGAGCCCCGATCTTCCCGGAGACTCGATTATCGCTTACTTATTACACGGTTTAGGGTTTAGGGTTTGGGTTATAAGGAAGATACCCCTAAACTATCCTCAAAGGGATCTACAAGGGAATTCTAAGGAAGATACCTTAAACTTAAACTATAGTAGCAATATGATTTATGGTATATTCCTTAATGAAGGGGTGTTGGAGTTGTTGGGTTACTTTATCCCCAATGTAGTCCCATGCTGCTGACCCTATTTCCCTGATGCTTTCGCACAGTACCCTTGGGCTCCGAGCATAATACACATAGCACCCACTTCGGGGTCTAAAGTCTATAAAAAGTCCTTACTTGGGATTGGTTTCGAGATCCTAGAAAACCCACCCCACCTTGACTGCGCAAGGATACTGCCACCTCGCAGGGCACTCGAACTCGGGAAGGGGAAGGTGCTTAGGGGCTCAGGGCTTACCCGTATCCCAAACCCCACAAAATAGTAGGCTATGACCCCTTAACTAGAGGGTCTAACCCCTACAGCGGTAGGTTTTTGGATCCCCAGGTAAGCTTCGAGTCACAGGCCACGATAGGGGCCTTAATCATTAGAAAAGGGTTTTGGGTGGCCATTATACTATATTTACAAAAAGGACCCTCCCAAACTAGTTTAGGTAATTATTTAGGCCCCTATATAGAGCTTAGGGCATCCCGTTTTCAGTGGCTTTATAGCTGGTTTCTAGAAATTCATGGAAGTCAAAGCGAAGTTGTAAGCAAAGCTGCAAACCACCATGCTCGGGCTGACATAATTATATGCATGTGTACAAAAAAATAAATATCAGTGTGTGTATATATACCCTATCCATCGGCCGACAGAAAAAAACGGATTCGATTGGTAGTTTCAAGCGGAGTGGGTCCGATTGATATTTTCAAGCGGATCCATTAGTTTTCTGTGAAAACCAAGCGATACAAAAACCTAGCGGGGAACCAATAGCAGCATAGAGCAAAAACCAAGCGGAGCATTCAGGAGCACGGATGTTTGACCGGGCTTGAAGCCTGCGATTTCTGGTTTCACAGGTTTTCACAGATCTTCACAGGTTTTCACAGATCTTCACAGAATTTCACAGATCTTCACAGACTAATCTGTGAAGATCTGTGAAATTCTGTGAAAACCTGTGAAATTCTGTGAAAACCTGTGAAGACCTGTGTGCTTCAGAATTCCGGGTTGGGCTCGATGTTTTTGGTGTGCTGGGCACGGGAAACCAAGCGAAATCGTTGATGAAAAACCTTGCGGGATCGATGATAAAAACCTAGCGGAGAACCTAGCGGAGAAAATAGCACTCCAACCGATTCCTAGCGGGCCCGATAGAAAATGCCAAGCGCACATGGTATTTTCAAGCGCAGCAGAATCGATTGGTATTTTCAGGCGAAATCCAGTGTTTTTTCAAGCGTGCGATGGTTAGGGTATTCTCATATATACACATATGTGAGTGTGAGTGTGCACGTATGATTCCGACTGTCGTCACCGGTTGTTGACTCTGCGTGCTAGTTCCCATGAAGTCTTCTAGCCTTATACCTTAGCACAACTTGAACTATACACGTCACAAGGGTGGCTGCGGCAGTGACAGTGTCAGCCAAAGCGCCTCAGCCATAAAATCAAACTTGTGGGAGCAATAAAGTTCATCTCCGTGAGAACTTCTGGCTGAGGTCCCTGACTTCATCAGTAGTCAAGAAGTTCAGTCTCCGAACAAGCAACTCCACGTTGTCCATCATGTTGCTGAGACTTTCAGAGAAATGCAGCTTTTTCAGCACAAGCTGAGCATCCACAAAAAAGGTACTCTGGCCTTTTCGGATCGATGTCAGCTGCTTCCTGCCAACCACAGACTGTTCCCAAATAAAGCAGCGCTAGCAGATCCAGTGTTCTTCGCCGACAGGACTGCCGAGACTTCTGAACGAAGTTGAACCAGCGCCCAAACTTGAGCTCGGCATGGCTTACACCATCTCCACGATGGGTGTGGCAAGCATGATCCAAGGAGCAACAACGGTAGGCCAGGAGTCCCAAAGAATGACCCCCCTCCAGGCTGTTGCTTACTGTAACTTACCGTAAAGGTGACGGGAGCCGGCATCCCAGCCCTTTCAATGCTTCAGGGCGTACCCTAAGGGTCCAAGTACCTAATTCTCATATACTCTCCAAACTAGTATCCTACATAACTACTATCCTAAACCCAGACCCCCGGGAGGATCTAGAAAGTAGATCCCCCAATTTGGGGCCCTATACTACTAAGGGTACTTCATAGGAACCCCCATTAAGGGATCTACTTTTTGGATCCTCCCGGGGGTCTGGGAACCCCAGTACCTAATTCTTGGGTCCTTTGGACCCTTAGGGTTCGGGTTTAGGGGCCCCCGGTCTCCAACACCAGAGCAAGTTTGCACACCACAACCCTACTTGGAAGGGGAGGGGACTTAGGAAGTAGGTTATAAGTAGGGTTTTAATTGGGGTAACTCCATTTAGGGTACTTGTAACTCTACTTATAACCTACTTACTAAGTCGCCTGCCCTTCCAAGTAAACCCTAAACTTCCTAAACCCTAACACGGCATGACCTGGGTGCTGTTTTCCTTGTTACCGCACCCCGTGTACTCCAGTTTAAAGTAGACTGATAGAGACTAAACACTCAGTAAGCCCTAAACCCCAAACCCCAAAACCCTACACTCCAAAACCCTAAACCGCAAATCCGACCCCCCCCCAACCCCTAAACCCCCTAAACCCCCCCGAACCCCCCTAAAGACCTAAGTTTAAGAGTCAACCCACCTGGCAGCGATGGAGAGGGAACGCTCTGGATCTGCCTGGGCACGGGTGCTTTTTGGCTTGAGGCGGCGCAACAGGGGTTTCGGGGTCCTTTAAAGGGCCCCTTCAAAGGGATCCATAGGGTTCCTGATGAGGTTTAGTGGCTTTAAAGAGCTGAGCTTCTTTGGTTAGGGTTTAGTTTGGCAATGTGGGGTTTGGGGGTTTAGGGTTGAAGGGCTTCTTTGGTTGGGGTGAAGTTTCAGCGTTTGGGGTTTAGGGGTTTGGGGTTGAGGGGCTTCTTTGGTCGAGGAAATGTACGTTTTCTAAGCCGACTAGGCTGGCAGCTACAGAGTTCCTAAGAAGGCTTTACAGGGTTACATATGCTATGTTACAACACTGGGCTACATCATAATACAATCCTTGACCTTCCGTATATACAACTTGTCCATATCGACAGAACTCGGCTTTGGAGCGTGGTTACTGCATAAGACATACGAACACAAAACAGCATAGAATTCTCGGAAACACAAGACAGCAATAACGCCGTGAAGTCCCAAGCCTAAACCGAGCACAACAACAAACATCTCGAACAACAAGCCGAAAGCCTCGTCGAACAACAAAACCAAAAAACAAATCACTAGTAACCCCCAAACCTCTCAGCCCAGCTCTTATAGTATCCCCTTATAGTAGCCCGTATTGAAGTAGCCTTTTAAAGGAACCCTAACCTTATCTTTTTAAGGCCCCCTCCATTACACCCCATGGCCGGGCGGCTGTGGCAGGTTGTGCTTTGATAGGAGGGGACGTGGGCCTCCCTGGAGCCTTCGATGTCTCTAAGCAAAGGGATCTATAGGGCTCCTTTAAGGGATCTATAGGATTAAGGGATCTTTTGGGTTTAGGGTTTAGAACCCCAAAGACTCCCTTATTCCTTCATTAAGGAATATACCTTAAGTCATAGTAGGATACCTACTACGATTTAAGGGACAATCCTTCATTAATTTATGGGCTACTGGAGTCTCTGGGTATCCTGCAACGGTTCCTGTGAGGGTACGATGGGGGTTTAGGGTTTCAGGGTTTGGGGGCTTTAGGTAACCCCAGCAATTAAGAATAAGTTTCTTATCAGGGTTCAGAAACGGATTTCACGGGTTACTGCACGGTTGGAGCAGCTGGAAGTGGGTACAACTATGTACGAATTATTCATGCCCCTATATATACTACTTGAAGAGTATTGTCGCAGCTTCGGCTGTATGGTTTAGCTACACAGCTACAGAGTCGCTGGGTTACAGATTAGCTGGCTAGCAACCTACTGTTGTATGTTGGCAACGGGACTGGAGACCTACTAGAATTGGATATAGTGATTGGGGTAGCTGGGCCTACGCAAATTGGGTTTCGAAATTGCTGAAGTGCTTGCATGGGGTGTTAATTTTACCTTAATCCTGAAGGACCTACCTGTTTAAGGACTTATATAAGGAAACCATAATAAGGAACCCTAAAAAAGTTAGGTAACTTCAGGGTTACGATAGAGGTTGTGTCAGGTTAGGGTTCAGGGACCAAGGCTTTTGGGTCGTGTTCTTAACTAGAGTGCACAGGGCCTTGCAGCCATTCAATCCTGAGGCCCCGCAAGTACCACATGTGAGGTTCTGGGAAGTCAACTTCGCGGGGTCCTATGAGATACGGGGTTTATTCTACTGTAACTCTATAGGGCCTGCCACGGAGTACTGTCAGTAAAACTCCGAACGAAATGTTCGGTGCGCCCTCCATAGCTATAGCCTGCAGTACCCACCAATGGACCACCAACCTCTTACCTGAAGACATCCGGGAAAGCCACATAATGCCCGAATAATCGTGCGAGGCAACCCTCAAACCCTGCCGTGCCTAGTCCTCAAGAATCTAAACCTCCTCTAGATAACCTAAAGCCTAAACCCTAAACACTCGAAAACCCAAACCCGATCGGAGAGCAAGTCTGGTTTCCATTCATAGAGGGTCTTTCAAACAACAGCCTAGCTACGATAAAACCAAGCTCTTACAGAGCCGGCAAACCGGTTATGGCATTGAATCGTTCTATAAAAACATTGTACAGGCCTCAAACCGATATGGTACTGAAACACTCCATAAAACAAAAACTTGTAGAGCCCCCCCAAACCTGTACTGTACAGATAAACTCTGCGAGACGATTATAGAGATTTCAAGCCTGCATTGGACTCCGAACCCTGAACCCTCAATCCTAAAGACCCTAAACCCCTGAACCCTAGCGGCCCTAACCCCTGAAGCCACAAACCTAGAGTCCCTTAGTTTCGGAATATTCCTTAAATCATATTAGAGGTCATACTATAATTTGAGGTACATTCCTTCCTTAGAGGATATTGGAGTCTCTGAGATTCTAGACCCTAAACCCTTTTGATCCTTTAAAGGAACCCTATAGGCCCCAGATTCCTTAAAGGAACCCTGTAAATCCCTTAAAAGGAACCCTATAGATCCCTTAAAGGAACCCTATAGATCCCTTATGAACCCCACAGATCCATTAAATAAAGGAGCCTAACCCTAAACTCTAAACCCTAAATTACTAAACCCGAAGCCGCACTAAGTTCGCCTCCTTGTTCGCCAGCTCTATCTCGAAGGCGATCACACCTTCACCCAGGCCTGGTGCAACATGGGAGGCTCCGAAAAAGAGGTACCTACCTTATTTGGGGGCTCTTATAATAAGGATCCTACTATTTAGGGTACTATATTAGGGTCCCCTAGTTTCGGAAACTCCCATATTATAGGGGCTTCAGGGGTTTATAGGGGTTTACAGGGCTTGATAGGGGTTCAGGGGTTGGGGCTTTAAGGGTTTAAGGTTTGAGGGTTTAGGGACTAGGACCTTAAAGTTTTAGGGATCTGAGGTTGAAGGTTTAAGAGTATAGGGGTCGAAGAAGTCGAAGTACTACGCGCCCATAGCCCTAGGACAGTTATACTGCCAAGCTTACTTACTAACCCCAACATATTCGAACTATGGAGGCGCTTCGATATTAGCACCTGGTCACGATTAATTACATCCTGGGTCTAGGGTTTATAGTCCTTCAGAGTTCTGTTGGGTGTTAGCAAGAGTATGCACGGTTAAGGGTTTAGGGTTTAGGGTTTAGGGTTTAGGGTTTAGATTTAGAGTAATTAACCCTGACTTCTCGTGCCATTTCAAGTGACTTCCCTAGACCTTCATTGAAGTTCAATCTGCACATGTTCAGGCTGCTCGGATTCTGGAGGGGGGTTGAGGATTAATTCAAGCTTGCAGGCTTTAGTCGCGGCTCATGGTTGGTGGCTTTCTGTTAGGGTTTGAGGCTTAGCATTTGGGTGGTTGTCAATATCACGGCCCCTTTTTGGACCCTTTTATATAATACAGCACCTGATAATTAGGGTTCCCCCCAAAAGGACCATAATTTTGACAACCACCCAGTTGGGGTACCCGAAATAGTAGGATCCTGATTATAAGGACCCCAAAATAAGGTAGCCCTGATTGTCGGAAACTTCCATTTGGGGTCGGAGGTTCCTACGTTCGTTGCAGTCGGCTTCCGTGCTTCTGCGGCCAGAACTTCGCAACTACAGGGTTATACATCAGGTAACTTATTGGGGACGGGCGCACCAGGTGCCACGTTGCAGTCGTACTTGGAAAGCGCACGAAACTACAGAGTTAGCACGATTTATGCAGAAAACAGGTTGGTAGCACATCACGGAAACTATTGCATGTTTACGATTAGCGAAATCATCAGCAGCATCATCATGGTCTTTATCATCAACATCAGCATCGTTATATTCTCACAAGTTTCTCACAGCTTCATCAGGGAGTTGTAACAACCTTTCTCACAGACACCGGGGAGGCGAATTTCAATTTCATTTCCCACAGGTTTCTCACAGACTTTCTATGGGATCCTTCCAGAACCTCGTAGAAACTTAAAGAACCCTCCAAGAATCTTTCTAGAAACTTACATCGCCTTTAATCAACCCCTTTACTGGACCTAAGAGTAACCTAGGAAAAAAACGGTGCCCTTTTTGGTTTAAAGGGGATTATAAGGGAACCTGAACCGTGAAAAGGTAATAAGGGCCTACTCTGGGTCCTAGTTTAGGGTCCCGGGACCCAACTGCCGACCTCACCCAAGCCACGTGGAGATGGACTCCTACCCACCATTAACCCCCAAACCTCTTCCTCTAAATCAACCTACCCTGAGGGTCCATGTACCCAAATAGTATATACTTTGGGCCCAATGTATCCATATAGGGAGTACTTTAAGGCCAAGGTATATATTATTTAGGTACATGGACCCTTAGGGCTACCCACTCTCGCAGGAAGGCACCGAGAAGCAAACCCGCCTTGCTGGCCGTACAGCTGCGCAAATGTCGCGAGGCCTGGAGGAGCTCGCAGGTTCAAGGCTTTGCTCTTAAGCTTTAGGGCCAAGTTTAGGGTGTCGGGGTTTCAATAATCCTGCTCTTCAGACGCAGGTTGACTCCCGTTATCAAGCGGCAGACGACGGCTCTGGAGTCCAGGCTGTGTAGTAGGGCTGGCCACATGCGAGGCGCTATGGACACGTTGGAACCGTGGGCGACCGTCTAGGTTGATGTTTAGGACTGAATTTGCAAGCGCGTGGCATCTGTTGGAAAGTCTCAATGACTCAATGACGATCAACAACCCCCTACCATCAACGGACGCCCTCAATAGACCCCCCAAAACACCTCTAAACACGGGAACCTGAACATGCTTGAACTCGTCACCAGACTGTGAGAAGCAGAGCCTGAAAAGCCATTCTGTGGGAAGCATCTTTGAAACTTCGGTCTATCCGGAATTTGGTGAGGTCAATATGGAAGGTTTATGGTTTATTTAGGGTTTGGGGTTTAGGATGGTCTCCGCCCACTGCAGAATCTACCTATAGTCTCCATTGTAGTTCCTTTTTTGGGTTATCCAGTTTTATGGTTAGGACCCTATAATAGAGATTTTGGTTAACCAAAAAAAGGAACTACAATGGAGACTATAGGTAGATGTTCATGGGCTCATACAGGCTTCCAGAATGCTATCACCGCCAATCTTGCGACGCCTGCATCCAGCGAGGTCACGCCGGGCAGCACGCGGCCAACTCCCTGCAGCCCACGGGAGGTAAGCCCGAAACCCTACAAATCCGAATATACGGGTCCCTAATGGCCCATTATATTATAGTAGGGAGCCCCCAAAATAGTACAGGCAATGTTTTTTTAAGGCCCCTTTTTTAGACCGTAAACCGCGAAGCCTGAACTGAGCTTGGTGTTTGGGGTATACAGGCTCTGGGACTCTGCAAGAAGTCTTGCAAACTTTTGGCAACGAGTTATCCCAAAGGCTCAGTATACACACATTACCAACTTTTGCCGGCGTCTAAAGTTATATACGGTAGAAGCCAGAAAGTTGGAACATCACTGCCCTCATGCCCTTAAGGTAAGGTAGAGGGAATCCCAGCACAATTCAT